TGCCAAAGAAGTGTGTAAGCTTGCATCATCTCTTGCACTGCAAAACTAAACCGCTTCCGACAAGCCTTAGTAACATTTAAATTCTCTCTAACCGTCGCACTACTTAAATAAGAATGGAAAGTAGGCATGTCATCGCATTTTTGCTGTATATTGTGAAGATTCTCGCTTAAAACTGCATACACAAACATTTTAGGCATTCGTTCGCTCGTGCACATTTGCAAATGGACCTGCGCTCTCGGCTGCTTCGTTGAACCTTTGCACCTCATCCGACTGGTCGATCGGCTTCCGCGCGGATATTCCACATGCCGGAATTAGTCGTCGTGGCGACCAGCCTGAGGCAAGCTCTGACCTCATAAACTCCCACGGGGCTGGAGGAGGCGGAACTGGGGCGAGCCGTGGAAGCAACCTGATCATCGGCCTCGGCGGTGGCAATGACCTCTTCACCGTGGCAATCGTCGCCGTCGGCATTGGTTTGGTCTTGGTCGCAGTCGTCTGTATCGCGTTCGGCTGCGTTATGAGGTGAGGTTTTGGGCAGGAAAACCGTTGTTTAAATGAGCTTTGTTGCCTGAATCTAGTCCCCAATTTTGGGAACGGAATCGGCCAGTAACATGAAGTTGATTGGTTGAAATTGCTCCACAGTGGTCGGATGGAAGTTATATCACTTTATCACCCTTTTATTATCTGGTATTGGTGGGTGTATTTTTTTTTATTTTTTAGTTTATGCATTATTTATTTTTGTTAAATTTTCTTCCAATTTCATACCAGTCTGTTTCATCTTTTTTAATGCATTTTGAATTCGTCAAGTTTGGGTATAGTGAGCATTTCTCCAAGATTTTCAATAATTATAAAAGTGCTTAATTGAGAGATTTGTATGTTGATTTTTGTTGTTATGTAGCCGTTTGGCTTAAATACGACACTTAAGTTGATGCTTTATCACCACTTGATTTTTTGAGTTGCTATGCTAACTTGAACTTTTTGCAAGAATCACTTCCAATTCTGACGGTGCCGTCACATGACAAAGGATAGCTTGGAAAAGTTGGGTTTCGAGGAATTTATTGTTTCATAATTGCTGAGCTTACTTCCATTTCGAGTGAAAGTGTTGCGTGAAAATATTCGAAAGTCGGTTCCACCGGAAGACGACGGCCGATTCCTTTTGACCAGCTGTCGATTGGCTTTACTGGGACATTCATGCTGACGCGGTTTCCGAGGCAATCTCTTTCGATTCCGGTGAAAGGTGCTAAGTTTTCGTCCGTCATGTGACGGACATCATCAGAGCGAGGTATCATCGTCACAATAAAATTCAAGCTAACAAGTCGAGAAAACTTCTTGAATTTTTTTGTGACGATGTTACCTCGCTCTGATGACGTCCGTGATATGACGGACGAAAGCATAGCAGCTTTTTACCGGAATCGAACGAGATTGCCTCGGAAACAGCGTCAACAAGAATCTTCCAG